TGTTGTATGCCAGTAATCTGGTGGGGAGACCACAACTAGAAATGTGGTAACATCAACTAAATGTTGAATGAGGATGATAGCCTATTGGAAATACTACAAATTTAAACTAGGACAGTGAAGCAGTTTTGTTTTAACAGGAACTGAAATCCTGGAAGATACATGCAGTTGACATCAGGATAGCATTTGATTGATTCACTTAGAAGAAATCTCGGACATGGTTCAGATTTGAATGCATATGTTGAATGGTGACATTGCAAACTGAAACCTGAGATGTAGGTTCCATTTCAGGCCAGGAAAACTGCTACTCTGATTTCAGCCTATTGAGTCACCTTCCCATGTGTTTTGCCAAAGTTTCCTTCACCTAAATGAGAGAAGCCAGAAACTAAGATGAGAGATTGCTAGTTTAAAAATCAAGTCTCCAAACCAAAAGCAGTAAAAAATCCTTCAGAGGAAACAATCAGCACCTTCATAGTTGATAAGTGGTTATTAAAATGGAGAAAACAATGGTTTGCCGTGTTACTTTTTCAAGTTGAGCTACTGTTTCTCTTGTAGCAATTTCTAGATAATTACAGGTCAGGTTGAAGTAATTTGATGACAGAACTTTGAAAAAGAATAACTTGCCTTTTTTCATGAATTAAAGGAAGTAAGAAGACAACATCATTCCTTGGAAATGAATATTTGGCTTTGTAATCCATTAGTGTGACAGATCATACTTCAGATGTCATACTTGAATTCTGAGTTGCCCCCTTCATGTTTCATCCACTCTTCATTGGGTGTGAAAGCAGCTGAAACATCAAATTTTGGTTCCCTGAATCGTAGCTCACATTCTGAAAGAAAACTGGTGTGACTGCTGTCCTTCATCTTAATGCAGTATTTCAGAAACATATGTACTCCATGCTCTTAGTACACAGAGCTCAAGATGAAAAAAGAGTATCTATGCATTTCATTTTATTCAGGTTGTTTGACTGAATCCCCTGTGCCTTTAGTGGTCATGGTGAAACAGTAGCGCTCTTCGTTTGTCATTCTTAGCCTTGAACCTGAAGGAGGAGAAGGGGGCATGTAATGCAGTCTTGCATAACTGACCAGGATTCATAGTCATCTTGAGTTTGAAAAGTCAGTTGTGAAGTACTAATTCGTTTCAGTGTGTTAGCAGAGTAGCTTTTTCTTGCTGTTACCCTAGATTCAGCAGGCCTAATTTTCACTTTCAGCACCTCTGCCTGGTGTTTCCTGTTAGATAGCTGAGTGCCTTCAGAGGTACCTCTGACCAGTAGAAAACACTGAGCACGAGGGGTAAAGTGAAACGAAAAAGTAACTGAGGATAGGCCACAGTGATGTACGTTTGAGGATATTGATTGTATTACTTTTGTCATCTCAGAAATGGAACGCTTGATGTACAATGTCTGATTTGAACTTCAATACCTGTAAGATGGATACAAGTCTTTATTTAAAATACCTAATGAGTTCTAATATGTACGATTCAAATTCTCACTTCAGTTTTATAGTCTTAGACAAGCTCACTTAGATTAGGTTTTCTTCAATTAGTGCATTTCCAGATTCTAAATTTTTATATGTAAAATAATTTGTTAATTGAAACGCGTGTCATTGTTGAAAATGACAATTTGGGCCTCCAGAGGAACACAGAAAAAAATCTGTCCTGTGTTTGACACCAGTTAAATGTGTGTTTTAAATCCGTTGTCATCTGCAGAGAGAATAGTCAGAGCTAATTGGAAGTAAAGGAGATTAAGAAACTGAACTTAAAAAGACAGGAAGGTTTTCTGGAATCAAAATTTGGTTGGAGAATGAGATCTGCTAACTCTAAGCTTTGTTTAACTGGGTCAGATTTTTAAAGGCCTTTACAGTTAGATGTCTGCAATATAGTTGTTCAAAAGTTGTCTGGTTTGCATCGCCTTAATATTTAATGGTTTCTTTCAAGTGCTGAGGTGCCATAAAAATTATTTTGAACAGAATGTGTTTTGTTCATCAGGCATATTTTTGTGGATTTATTAGGCAAAACTGTAAATGCCAGAAGTAACTTAGTGCATTTAAACAACTTTTCTTGCTCTTACATTGTTTTTTTTTTAAAAAGACGAAATAATTCAATTCAGCATTCAGATTTTCATTTAAAATCAGTCATAAATATTTACAAGCTTACATTTCACTTAACAACGAAGTAGTTTTGTTCAAAGGCGTAGATTTTGTGCCACTGTATGTTCATAAAAATGTCTACTCAGTCTTTGCTGCTCCAAAAACTTGCCCGCTTAATTTGAAGCATTACTAGTCTGATCCTTCATGTGAGAAGTCATTGAACAGTTTGATGCTACGTTAAACTTGTGTTTCTTGACTATTAATCTCCATTTTACAAACGATGGAGATCGGAAAGTGTGAGATGAGTCATTCTCACAGTTGTCTTGCCTACTAGCGGCACGGTGCTGTGATCAGTAGGGCTCGTAGTCCATTTCTCTGTGCTGAGCCTTCAGTGCCTTAAATCTCCCAAGTCAGACTACACAGAGGAATACAGTTTACCAGATCAGGTTATGTACCTGCTCAATGAGTGTTCAGTCAGGGCTTGACATTTCAGGCTTTTTTCTCCTAGTGGCTGTTGGCAATATAGACAGTGTATTGTCATGTTTAAATAGTCCCCTTTTCCATCGTTTTTTGCTTAGTTTTGTATCTTTACCTGAAGTTCTAGTAATGCAGATGGTCAAAGTGGTTTTGTCGGGATGGGGATCTCTCAATGTATCTGTCAGTGGCGTTTCTTGAGAGTCTTGGATGTCAGAGCAAGAGTTGAAGATGGCAAGTTAAAAAGTGTTGCCAATTTAGAAGTAGATTAAATTACTATATTATCATTGAGACTTCTGTGTCCACAATTGAGTACAACTTAGGATAGAATCATGTGTCCTTGGTGCACAGATCTTGAATTTTCTGTCCCAGTTGTACTGTTTTCCCGAAGTTAGTACCTGATTTCTCCATGGCCCTTCACTGTCGTCGTCCTTCCCTCCCTCCCCTTTGCTGCTTTTACTCCTTCTATTCTGGCTGATGTTTTAACATTTTCTCTAAATTATTGCCTATTTAATTTGCAGATGGTGTTAGGGCTGGAAGAAACGTGGCTGATGATTGTTGTTTTAACTCTTGGAGTTTTATCTGTTGACCAGAGTCTGTTTAGAGTTGGTGTGGTTTTTTTTTATTAATGATTTTGGTGATTAATGTGGTTTGAGAATGTTTCTGGAAAAAGATAATATAAAGGAGAGCTGTAGAGAAGATTTTTATCAAACTTGTTACACCTGAAATTTGGCATACGTTTTGTAGCTCATACAGAATTTGGAAAGTATGCCCAAGATGAAGTAGTCATAGTGAATGAAGGATGCACGTGATCTGTTACATTCTTCAGTTAATGTAAATACAGTGTGAATGTTTGCAGTCACGTTTCTCATAGCATAGACATGCTTTAGCACAGATGTTATCTTCTGAGCTAATTTCATACCCACTCAAAATTACACAGTATCACTTTAGCTATAACAGCACTTGATTCTGAAGAAAAGTATTGCGTTACCACCATAATGCTATTGAGTAAAAATGTTGCAGGGCCATTTTCCATCTGATGCAGTGTATGTGCACGTGACAAATTCTACATGGGATTCTATTTAATTTTGGAAGCCTGACTGCATCTTGGTTTAACCTGATTTATGTATTTCTGTACCACACTGGAGTGTAGTATGTATCTTGTCCTACAAAAAGTATGAATCCTCCAGCCACCCTTGAGTACTTTTTTCTCCACTTTCTCGTAGTTTCCTTCTCTTCATTTCCCTGCTATGCTTCTTTATTATGTCTTCTACATTTTCTGCTTCTTTTAACTGAGTTATTGATCCCGCTTTAGGGAGCTGAAAATTGTACAAGCGCTATAGGCGTGGGACTGAAAAGGTATAAAGGCCTTTGTCAGTGGACCAAATCCAAACAAGAAGCTTCTTTGCTGAAAGTGCTGATATTCCTGTTGATTGGAAACAGTTTCCTCTCTTTTTATGAGTTGGAAGCCCCCAGACTGACTTACGGAGTTGAAGAACCACCGTCATAGTTAAACCTCTGAACTAGGAATTGGCAAATGTTTGCTTCTGCTTGGTCTAGCAGAGGCTTCAGCCACTGACTGAATAAGCTGGTGGCTGAAGTTACTTGCTTCAGATGGTTTCTTACTAGAAAACGTTCAGGTAAGGAACCCCAATAGCGTACTGTTCACAAACCTGAAAATTAGTTGAGAAGTTTTCATGGTATTGTATTGCTAAATGCAGAACAGAAGTAGGAAGGTGCTGAGTGAGTGGAGTCCTTTGTAACTCTGACATGATCACATTGATTTGTGTGTATCTGAGTTTTAGAAAGCCATCTTTGCCAAAAGTCTACAAGTCTCAGTGGAAGCCAATACTATAGGGAAATTTTAAATGGATTTGAGCATTTGACAGTAAGAATTCTCATAGAAAGTTTTTGGAAGTCTCTTTCTCTGAAGTCTCCTGTAAAAAATAGAAAATGTTTTGGTTTGTTTTTTCTTTAATATTTTACATTGCCAGAGAATATGCAGTTAGGGCACTGATGTACTTGAGAGCTTTTTGGTATGTGGAATTTTGGAGAGAAGGCACACAGTGACTTTTGATAGTTTTACTGCAAGCATTGCTTTTTAACTTGTAATTCTACAAAGGAGATGAGATTATTAAAAGCACTTGCAATATTTTATTCAGTGCAATCATATTGTTACAGTCCTTGAAAAGGACTGTTGATCTGTCCGTTGTGTTTACTTGGCTAGATTTGAGGCTGTCAAAAATGTTGTGGAAGGCTTTTGTGTTTTGTCTGTCGGTTTCCAAATCTTTGAGATTTTAAGCAGTAGTTGCTTTATGTATATTCTGCCTAAATTGTGTTTTCCTCTCCACTTTGCTGCCTGTATGGCATTAACTATACAGAGAGGAATGGTATTTCATGTACGTGTTTTATCCTGGAGTCTTTTGTACCCTTTACTGTACGAATGATAAACGCTGTCTGGGGGGGAAAGATAATTGCAAATGTAAGTGTATGAAGGGAAGATGATGAATACCAGTAGAAGTTCTGTAACCTAATTTTTGTACATGTATATTGTAGAGTTGATGGTTCTTAAATTTTAACCTTATGCTGCTTAATTTTGTTAGCAATACTTTGGCACCAATACCTGACCTTAACTAACGTTTTTGCTAGTGTTTTCCTGGTGAAAACAGTCTGGAGTTACCTTTCTTTTAGTTAGTTTCACTGTATGTGTCATGGCCAGGTTTTGCAGGCCATGTTTTAAGAGTCCAGCTTTTATAATCTGTTAATTGTCTACAGTGTTTGGTGTTTGAGTGGAAATGAAGTGAAATACTGAAATGTAATTATTTTAGGCTTAATTTTCTTACTATTTTTCTTTTAGAACAAATTCTGTACAACATAAAACAGGAGTACAAACGCATGCAGAAGAGGAGACACTTAGAAAATAGCTTCCAGCAGACAGATCCTTGTTGTTCTACTGATGCACAGCCACATGCATTTCTCCTTACTGGACCAGCTTTGCCAGGTACCCAGAAAATTCTGTGTAGTTCTGCTATGTGGTCTTAGACTCCATTTGTTAAATGATTTTCCCTAGTTATCTGGTGGTATATGGCACCTTCTCACCAGTTGCTGTGGCTTTTTCTGACAATACCAGTATTGATCTGGAATATTGTAGCTTCTCATTTTAAGAACCAGAAGGACATAAAGCTTACATTGTTTTCAAGAGACCATCCTGTATACTCTGCCCCGATACTGTAATAGGCTTTTGCAAAGCAGATGTCTTTGCAAAAATATGTTGTACTGTAATTTTTACGTAAGAGAAGCTTAAATTTGTAAATGGCAACTGCCATGTTAAGTGGTAGTCAAAGTGTTTGTGTAACACTCCTGGTGTTTTGGTACCTGTGCGTATTGTCCATTGTAGATGTCTTCCTTTCAAGTGTCCAGTTTTACTTTAATAGTAATAGAAGTGTTCAGATGGCAGAGAAAGACTTCTCCAAATGTTCCGTAAAGTTCCTTTAATATAAAAGATGCGAAGAAAACGGACAATAAAAATGGTTCTGAACTACTTGTAAGTGTAAATTGATGTGCCCAAATATTTAATCTTAGGTACTTCATCTGCAGCATCATCACCATTGAAAAAAGAACAGCCCCTGTTTACTCTCAGACAAGTTGGAATGATCTGTGAACGTTTGCTGAAAGAACGTGAAGAGAAAATCCGTGAAGAGTATGAAGAAATTTTGACCACAAAACTTGCAGGTATATTGTAGTTCAATATGTGTTAAGATGAGTTCGAAAGCTTAAAACTTTTTCTTATTTTTGCTTTATGCTGTTTTTTGTGACTTGATCTAATTAAGGAGTAAGATTGCATACAGGACAGAAAAAAATGATGTGTGATCTCTTTGATAGTTTTTTTTCTTCTATGCTGCCTTGGACAGAAACTATGACTCCTGGGTATTTCTAATCAATGGAAACAGTGGTTTTATTTCAGATAGAACTTTCTCTTACTATCATGTTTGAATTGATCATTTCCTCCTCATTTTTTTGCCAGAAAGACTTTCTATTCTACTGGCTTAAGAGCTCTTTGTGAAGGACTTTTTTTTCCCCTGCTTGGGAACTGACTTCCTTTTTCTGGAATTTGGCAAGAAGACAGTACCTAAGGTTTCCTTTTCTCTTCCCAGTACTTACCATTACACTGCTGCCAGCGGTGTTTGGTATCTGCCTGAGCGTCAGTAGTTTAGCTGCATTTCTGATGTTCAGTGTTGAATTGTTGTATTTCACATCATTTGGCTGATATTTTTGGTGCCTGATGATGTTCCACTTTTCATAAGGATCATGTTAATGTCAGCATTATAAATATGACCTTCCTTTAGTTGTTGAAGTTCGCTGCTCTTAAAGCATCTTACTAGCATTTGAGCACCTAAATTCTGTTACATTCAGAGGTAGATGCCTTCACAGTATGATTCGGTGTCTAATTTAATATTTAGTGTGATGATAATGAACACATCTGAGTGCACTCTTCGGTAGCAAACCTGCTTTTGAATACCCACGGCTGTTCTGCTTCCCACCTGAAAACACATCAGAATTAAAGTTTGCAAATCCCTTCAGGTGTGGGAATAAAACCACCTGCAGGCATGACCGTGCAGAAAGTCACCGGACTTGTGTCAGGCTTGTGGGTCACCTGTGACAGTGTTGTCTCTGCACCTGAGCCTGTGTTCGTGTTCTGTGCTTGCTGATCTGCCATTGCTCTGTAAGAAATGACTATAGTTGTAAGTCCCTCCTAAATCTGCATCTATGTACAACTATAACAAGATCCCTGAATACTTCTGTTGCTTTGGGCCTAGTGTTCCATGTCTGCATTTTTCTTTTTAACTTCCTTCAGACTGATGAATTAGGACTCTGTAGAGCTTTTTTCTCCTAATTTATATATGTTGGGAACTGAGTCATTTCTTGCATTCTCTTAAATGCATTTTAGTTAGCAGTAATCATAATAACCATTTGAAGACCAGATATATTTACATTTGTTCCAGACACTTTTTGAGTACAAACTTGTAGTTCTTTACAGCAGGAACTCTTCTGGCAAGTTCCTTACATGTGCTCCATCTGTCAGTCTCAAAGGGAATGTTTTTGATTTTGGGAAGGGAGGGGGATGGTTTCTGTTTGGAGGGTTGTGATTTACAGCAAGATGAGTTAGGTTTACTTGTTCTTAGAATGGTGGTCACCAGAAGAGCTGCTAGAAAGATCATATTACTGTATCCCATATATCAAGCCAATAATAAATTTTCAGCATTATGTAGAAATTTAGAAAGAGACTGCCAAAAAAATTTAGAAATTCTTTGCATAGAAGGCCAGTTATGTTTTTCTGCTGACAGAATGATTATGTCTTTTTCTAAACCTTGTACAGTAAGGTGATACTCATTCTTACTAACTAGTGAAGTCAATGGAAATGTGACTGGAAATTCTGTGATACATCTCAATTGAATAGCTTCTTTCAAGTGACTTAACTGAATGTTTGGATCTCAGATATGTTCCTCATTCCTTTCCGAATCACAGTTTTCTTCTAGGTAATTAGCCACATACTGCCTTTTTTTTTTCTTTTCTCCCTTCTTCCATGTTCTTGTGAGCAGAATTGCCTTTCATGCAGAGTGAGCGTTTGATAAATGGAAAACTCAGATCACTGTAATGCCCTGATTTCCCCTCCTGCCTCTGTTACCTGAAACCGCTGCGTTAGCATAAACTTGGGTTTGCAAGATCCTTTGCAGGTTTTAAAACCAGAGGAGGAGTATAAGGGGCTTAGGGAAACTTTAGCTTGAAAAGTTTTCTAGAATCTGTTTGTGAAAAACATTTTTTTATGCTAAAGGTCAAGTCGTATAGTAATCATATTTGTATTCGTGGCATTTCACCACCTTTTGACTTAAATTAGATACTTAGACCATATGTGACACAGGATGCCAGTGGTGTAAGTATCTTTACAAGTGTTCACTTAAATTTTCAAACAGTTCTCTGTAGGTTGCTCTTACCTTTGGATTGCTTAATTTTCTGAATCTGAATGCCACAAGAAGGGATTTTTAGTAACCGTGGATTCTTTAAATTTCCAAAGCCGTGATTTTAACAAAGATAATGCTACAAACCAGCTGTGTATGTTGACTTAAAAGAAGAAAGCTTGCAAGTTGGTTTCTGGCCTTTAATACATACTTCTAGGAAGCGTTCTAGTTGCTGTTATTTTTGGAAATGGTTTCTGGGCAACAGATCCTTCGATCTGCTCTTTGTGTTGTTTTGTTGTTTGGCTAAGACCCTCTCATGGCTGCTGAAAAGCCGTCAGTCAGAACTGCAGTGAAACAGAGGTCCTGCTTATGGGCAGAGGGGAGCTGGCTGCTGTGACCCTGGGCCCCTTCAGTCAGGGATGAATGTCCTTAGATCTTTGGGTCAGGTCCATACTTTGGGCTGCTGCTGCACTACTTGCTGATTACTGATACCCTGTTTACTTCAAAGGTGAAGCTCATCCCTGCAAGAGGATGGGGACTTTAATGGGGCAAACCTGTGGGACTAGGAACCACTACAAATCTAACTGCATTTTTGGTTGAAGATTGCCTTCTTTGACCTTGCCCTTTTCTCAGAACACCCCACATTGCTGCACTTGTATTTTTCCACAAGGGAGGAAGGGGAATGGAGAGGAGCGGCATCTGGTAGATATTACTCTCCTTGTTCAATTTCCTAATTCTGAAAGGTGATATCCTGCTGATGAGTGCAATATTAAAACTGAATAAAATACTGTGAATGTATTTGTATGTATGTGTGTATAGAAAGAATAATCTTTCTGGGAAATAACAATGTGTAGTTCAAAGCCAAATTAATTCATTTGATGTCTAAATTTCATTTCAGATTACACAGTAACTGTTTTCATGAAGTCCACAGTCAACTATATGTCTCCTATTGTGGCTACTTCTGTGATTGGAATTAGTCCAGCGTTACTCACTTAGCATTCCATCCTTTTAGTTGGTCATTTGCTTTTGATTTTCTGGTGGTCACCGAAAAGAATTTCTAACTCTGTAGGAAGTCCCTTTCCTCTACTTCTGTGTTTCCATTTCATTAAATTAATTTTCTTACATCTGGTAGTGATAGGAGCAAAGAGGAGTTATGTTTCCAACCCTAGCACTGACCTTAGTGCTGCGTTTGCGTAACTATTCTGCCCCCATTGTGGGTCTGTGAAATGGGCACACTTGATTACTTCAAAATACAGTGTCTGACGCTTAGCCAGGTGTTAGGTGTATTGAGGTCTTTGTGTATGTGCAGCGTAATTCTATTTGAGCGTATTTACATTACAGAAGTTTGTAAGGGAAAGTCTTCTAATTAAGAGGACATGTGCTGCATTGTTGTTCTTGGAAGGAAATGGCAGCTATGAACTGTGTAAAGTCACTTAAAACTCCTGTTAGTGGATGCGTGTTTAACTTTTACGATTTGTATGTATAAAAAAGTAGCCTTGAATATTTTTCAGCTTGAGTTAAACTTAATGTACTCACACTTGTAATGCTTCCTGCTTGCAGAACAATACGACGCATTTGTGAAGTTCACGCATGATCAGATCATGCGACGATATGGAGAACAGCCTGCCAGTTGTGAGTATCTGTTTCATCTAGGTCCTGTAGAGCATTAAATTAACGAGCGTTCAATAATTCAAATGGCTGTTGTTTGTCATTAAGCTTCAGCTAGGCCCTGAGTTACAGGACTTTAAATTGGTAATATGTAAGGCCCAGGTTGAAAGGAAGATGTGAGATAAAATGCAGCTTTTGCTTAAAACATCTAGAACCGTGTCCCATAATGTGTTGTTTTTTTTTATTTTTGAAGCAGGTTTTGATACTGCCATAGCAGGTTTGTGATAGAGCTGGCATTTGTTAACTCCATCATTAACTCTTGTTTTTTTTTCTTTCCAGACGTTTCATGAATCACACTTTCTGCATATGTGGGCTGCCCTATACACCCTGTTTTATTGTTGCAAGCTGTCCCAGTAAAGACTTGCAGCAATGCCATATTTTTTCCCCCTGTGAACACAGGTTATTTCAAGCTTTTGTCAGTGGCAACCACTCTTATGCAGCAACTGGTTTTGGAGTGCTCCCTGATGTCAGTACCACCTGGATGTGGACCTTTGCTACCTGTAATAATACCAGTGGCCTCATTTGCTGTATCATTACAATTTGGCTTCTTATGTTAATAAGTTTGAAAAAGTAAAGGATTAAAGCTGGTGTTCTAGAAGTTGCCCTTCACTGGTTGTGTAAATAAAAATGTAGAATGACACTTCTGACTGAAGTTAGTGTGGTTTTCATAACTGTGCACTACAACAAAGCTGTAATCACAGTTAAGTTAGAATGTAATCCCAGGACAATTTTAAGCAAATAGCCCACAGTACTGCCTGTGAAATAGTGAAGGAGGGCATTTCTGTATTCCATGACTTTTTTGGGGGTTAAGAATGGGTTTATATGATTTCTCATTTTTGTAGTTTTTATTTATTCTCTCAGTCTTTAACAAATGTTTATTGCTGCAATTTTTCAGTGTATCATTGTTTTACTGCCCTTGTAGTACTGGAATTTAGTTGGAAGAATAAAACATTTACTTCTAATCTGTTTGTTTTTAATATGCAGGTGGAACTTTTGCTGTGTATGAATAAACTTAAATCTGAGTGTTTAAATGAAAACTTTATTTACTAGCAGTAGTGGGTGGGTCACAGTTGTAGATCAGGAGAAAGGAGATGGATGAAAAATCTCAGGTAATTCTTCAGAGGTGAAGAAACCTCTCTTAGATTGGCTGTGTTGTTTCCTGTTGTGGAAGCATGTTTGTTAGAGAACTGACAAGAAACTGTTTATTTAACCTGCTGCAGCTGACTCAGAGCAGCTGTGCCTGTCTTCCTTCGATTTAAGTGACACATCAAAGGAAATCTGTTCATAAGATAGAACAAGCTGGAACTATGTAGGTATTGGAGGAGCTAAAGGTGTGTAATCTTTGTGTTCAGGGTCGAGGGGTTTGTTGTTGGATTCGTTCAGCTGTTTCCAGACTGCTGTGTCAGTGCTGGCTGCTGCTCTGGGCAATTCTGAGTCTCGGTGGGAATTATTGAAAAGGTACTAACTACGTGGCAAGTCCAGATCTGTGTGCTGCCGGGTAGAAGTACTGCTTACCAAATGACTCGGGCTATCTGTTTGGGGACTTTAAAGCAGTTTCAAAGTAATCCTTTGATTGTAAACTGTCGTCTTCTGCAACACGATCAGCTTCTGGTTAAGTGGCAGTCTGTCGTGTGGTAGATCTTTGTACCATTTCAGATTAACGGGAAGAGTTTTAGTTGAAATGTAATTGAAACTGTAGCTGATAGATACATTAATTGGCTCATGCTGGTGCTTATGATGTCAGATGAGTTCTTAGTGAACTTTTGTTCACTTATTAGTGAGATTACACTTTCAGAATTAGGCACATGGCCACAGTGTCAGAGTATTTTCTCCTCACTTTCCTGAAACCTATCTTACCTTACCTAAATATTTGGAGTCTTCAATTTCAGAATCTCAGAAATAGGAAATCTCTGCTAGACTTCCCTCTTGGGTCTTCTGTTACTGAAGATAAAACTTATCAAGGGCTGTAATTTCTGTTGTCTGCCTCGGGGTTCTCAGTCCCTCTCCCTCCTGCTCCTTGATTTTTGACCTCCTTTTATTAAGTTGCCCACGGTGGAAAAACCACTGCTTGCGGGTGGACCACTACCCAAATTCCAGCATTCTGATACATCTCCTGTGTTCTAGAAGATCCCTGTTCTGACTTGATAGAAATGTGTGTATGCCTAACTGATAAGTTTGAGATCAGAGTAGAATTAAGATACCAGCCATTGTGATCATCTCTGTGTCTCGCCTTATCTTTTCCTTTGGGAGATTAAGAGTTATTATAAACAAGAAGTGACGCCATGTTAGCACCCAGCCACTCCTGTGCTGCTCCAAATTAATGCATAATAAGCAGTCTTCTGGCAGATTAAATATAATGCCACCATGAGTGCTTATGCATCACAGCTGTGGTATGCTTAATTTATGCCCGTTTTGAAAACAAGGTTGCAATCTTTGAAATTTTTCATTTTTTAACCTGCTGCGTGTTCTGCCTTGGACTTTAAACTGGCTCCTTTTCCGAGTCTCGGTGCCAGTATTGATGTGATAAATTTCACGTGAAAGGCTTGTTCTAACAAGTGACTTATTCTTTAGCAGGAAAATGGTTAGCTGCTCAATTACCGTTGAAAAAATTGGGGTGCTTTGAGGAGCAGGCTGGTGCTTAAAAACAAACTTGCTTTGGAGAGCCTTTTCAAAGGCTTTTGAGTCAAGTAGAAATGGGTAAGATTCAATAATTACTGAATTCTTGGCACTACGTTTTGTGGTGGCCACGTTTAGAATATTTTTGCAATTTGTCTGTAACTGCAGTCTATCCAAAAGCAAAGCAAGCTGGGGACAGTTAATTGCAACTTCACAGAGTGAGACCAAAGCCCTTGGTTCACCTGCTTTTAAGGCAGCCATGTGTAAATTCTTTGCAAGCAGATCTCAGTTGCTGTGTACTTAAAAAGCCGCACGTACGTCCTGACTGTGTGTTGGGTTTTGTGTCTAGATGTGGAAGTGTATAACCATAAGATTATTCAGCATTTTTCAGGGTTGAAAAGGAGAGAGATTCAAGTAATCTTGTGTGCTCATGCTTGAGACCTACCTGTGTACTCTTGAACAGCAAGACCATTAGCCGATTCTGGTTAGAAACTGTGTTTTGTGAAAACTGTCTCCGTTCCCGAGATGAGAATTGGGAAGGATTTAGCTCTGATTCCACAGCGGGGAGGAAAAAAACGAGGCTGGTAAAGTATTAAGAGTTTATGCTCTTATTGGGAACCAGTGCTCGTGACCTTTGTATCAGAAGCCATTCTCCGAGAAGAAAACTGAGGATGAATGTTTGGCTTTTACAGGCACCTGGCTTATTATATTTTACTGCTGTTGTAGGCTCCAAGATTAAAAAAAATATCAAGTTTGTGTTTGAAACCAGTAGTGCAGTAGTGTAAAGCAGTGTCAAAGAACAGCATTTGTAACAGTAGAGAAAAATGGTCAAACAAGAGTTAACTTACTTTCAGGCCTGATTTTTGGCAGTAGTTTTGGTGAAATATGTGGCTACTGCAGAATACAACAGAGTTACCAGTTCGGAGGTGAGGCTTTACCTTGTTAGGGTTTCAGAGCTAGTATCGCAATACAAACATTGGTGCTATTTTTTTTTTTTGTCCTCTTTGCTTTTAAGGAAGATTGCAGACAGAGGTGGTTTCCTGCGGTATCTGCAGAACTCGTTATTACTGCGTAGTCAGTTGTAGAAACTAACATTTAAAAATCACATCTGTATTTGCAGTTGAAGTCTTCTCTGTGTGTATTTCAGCTAAGGTATGTGAGAGTGAGTTTGGAGTATTTACGACAAAATAGTAAAAAAAAATTGTATGAGAGGAGCCAAATGTAAAATTCATACTATATAGCCAGAGTATCTGCAAACAGAAAGCCTGGTGGTATTGGACCCTAGCACTGGAATTTCATTAAAAGAGGAAAAGCACAAGGTGCTTTTTCACAGCTGTAGTATCTCTGCTGTTACTGATGTTGGTTCAGAATTTAGCAGCGTTATGTTCTTTCCAGGCAGCCAGGGCTGACTACAAAGTCCAGCCTCTGAAGAGAAAGAAATTTATGACTAGTTTGGGTTAGTTTGTGTTTTTAACTGTCCAACCTTCCTGCCCTCCTCACTGAAGAAAATGAAATTACAGTGCTTCCTACATAATCTTAGTCAAGTGTTTCCCCTCTATATATCTTTCAGTCTGAAGTGCCAGATACTTACTGATTTAAAGATTTGATCCTGAAGAACTGTGTATAGCACAGCAAACATGTGACTTTAAGCTTCGAAATTTATGTTGTTAAAGGAAATAAACAGCCATTAACTATTAATTTTTCTGTTGTAATGTCATGTTGCTTGCACATTTGGGGGTTAAAAGCCACACACTGTTGAGGCTTGCTTCTCTTTATTTCCAAATATTCTACCCTCCAAAGGTGTGAGAGTTAGATGGTGTGGGCTCATCAGCCCCTAGAGCTTACGACTTTCTCGTTTGCTCGGACAGCTTCTGCACTGATGTTTAAGCAGTAGTGATATTGCTGCTAGAGTATGTCAGTCTCTAACATCTTGGAAACAGGAGGAAAAGAGACAGACATAAAATGCCCAGATGAAATACTAACAGTATGAATATTTTTACTGTCTTTTGACAGAAGACTATAGTAGTTCAGAAACAAAGAGGGTCTTGCAGCCATTTGGGTTGGGTGAGGTTAGGGGAGGCTGCAGGCAGGTGGCTGAGGACAGCTGAGCGGCTCTGCTCACAAGTGAGACATTTGGTTGTTTTGCAGCTCCCTTCCATTTGTCAAGCTATCTGCAAGATAAATAGGCGAGGTTCCGTAGAGAGGAGGGCTATCAGCTCTCCCCTCCTACTGAAATTTCTCACTTTCCTCTCTGCTGCTTGAAATCCTTGTATATAAAGACTACTGCGATACAGGTCCTGTTGCTTGGACTCTGGAGTGAAGAACAGTTTGGTTTGTTTACCCTCATGTCTTGGGTGGTGGGAGAGAGGAACTTTTGCAACTGCTCCACTGAGATCCTAAGAATTTTGCTCGTGAGTTTTCATCATTCCGTTTTCCAGGTTGGACGTTTAGGCGGTACAAAGGCTGATAAACTACTTGTCCTCCTCAGCCTCTTAATTTGCCTGGCAACATTTAGAACCGGGCCCTCCCGTACCTACAGCAGGAAGTGTGACTGTGTCTCTGCAATTACAGCAGTTGAAAAATACATGACTCCTGCCCTCTCTGAGGGCATTTAAAACAAGCCTCACCGATCCTGTGTATGTTCCTGGGTAAACAGCCTGGTAAGTTACAGGTTCTTGTAATACCTGGGGACTTCCCTCCCCCCAGATCTGATTTATGCAAGTGATTCAGTCTTCAGTGCTCCGGGCCATTGTTTTCAGTCCTTTCAAGTGCGGGAACATCGGGATTCTTGGACCACGTGCACCAAGAGCAGCAGCACTTCAATGCCTCCCTCAAAGAGAAGGAAAGTGAAGTCCATAATCCTCTCTCAGTCCACCGAGGAAGTCTGGGGAGGTTTTTTGGAGGTAAATACAGTCTTTTCCAATAAACTATGTAGTCACCTTTCAACTTCTAAGCAGGCTAGGAGGGGCAAAGTCTAAATGCTTTTCTCTAAGGGCAGCCCTTTTCCTAGGTGATAAGACTGACCCAGAGTCTCCACCCACACTGCTGAAATGAACGTGTCGCAGCCCTCGGGACGGTTTATTCATATATGGCAGAGAGGCATGCTGTTCTGAAGAGAAACACCACTTTTCCCCTTTGCTTTCTACAGTTTTTCCATGGTTGGAAAACATGGGACACTGACATCAGCGTAAACACATTTGCTTCCCCAGAGTCTGAGGGAAGCTGAAGCTTAATGAAGTAAGATCTGCAGCGTAGCTTTTCAGTGCCAAAGAAAAAAGACTGGGCTGATTAGGACATAGCCATAGTCCTCTGATACCTGGAATCAAGTGTAGGTTTTTCTTAACCTCCACTTCCTCAGTGACCAGAACTCCAGCAATGACCGTGTTTTTCCTGTGCTTTGGCACAGCACTTTATTTGTGGCTTTTGTTACAGTATCAGGCACTGGTCTGGGACTGACTTTAGGCAGAGACTAGCAGCTCTTTGGTCTATCCTGACTAAATCACAAGCAGCTGTGAGCCAGTCCAGTCCAGATTGTACAGATGGTAGAGAATGGGTAACCTGTACTTAGGCTTTAACATGCTCAGCCAATAGTTGTTATTTTCACACAGCTGTTTCCTTTGCTTGTGTACAGTGCAAATCCTCAGCAAAGAGAAAAGTTACAGTGTGTACTTTAGGTGTGGATTTTACTGCCTTCCTCCAATGTGCACGAGTGCCACGTTCACATTTAGTCTATGCTGACACAGGTTCCCCTGACAGCAAGGGTCAGCTAGTACTAATCAACTTCACTAGAAAAAGGGAGTGATGTAAACAGTTTGCTTTTGCTGTTCTCAAAGAGCAAAAATTTCTATCTTCAAAATTATTTTCTCCCATTCTTTTCCTTATGAAGGAGTTTTCAGGGAGTTATGACCAGTTTTGTTTTGAAGAATATGCAGCAGAGGCCAAACGTGGAAGCTTATTGTCTTTTTTAGCATCCTGGTTTTATTTATTTTTAAATCTGCAGTTCAAGGATCTGGAAGGCATATTACAATGATGACTCAAATCCTATCGGCTTATAAGCAAGTTAGTTAATGACACTGGTTCATCACTTCTGCTGCTTACACAGCCAGCTTGCTCGCCTGAATTATATCACTGCAGCGTTAAATATCACATGTCAGAGAAGATTAGAACTGGCACAGTGAATACCGTATTTGGAACTTGAGCATTGACAGAGCAGTGTGATACACTGGGAGACTGAGTATTGGAAACCAACATTGCTACTCAAGTCTGTCCAGGCACTCGAAACGGATCTCGCAGCATTCCGTCACGGTTGATTTTGACTCAATATGCAAAGTCAGCGAGGACTCGTTTAGTGGGAACACAGCCATTGCACAACATGACAAAGAACACGTTTATTAAGATCTCAGTGGCACATTAACAGCCTCCCCATGTCAACCTTGCCACGTGGTCAGTTTTCTGCTTGCTGGGCTTTATGAAGCCTAAGAGTTCCAGTTCAGAAACAGCTCGAATAAAGCGAGCACTGGATGTTTCAGTAAAGGAAATTGAGTATGCTTTTAGGACACTTTATTGATGGAGACACTGTTCCCTCCAGGAGGGAAAGATTTCTAAGTCACGGCAAGGACAGATATTACACAAAACACATTGCATGCTAAAATTGTTGGAAATAAGGGCAGAGCATGATTCACCTACAGCAGCACGCATCTTCAGTCTAATCTAATCGGTATTTCTTTTGCTACATGCATACAAAGTGGCAATGAAGGAAGAGTTCATTTCCCCACTGGTAAGAAAAGCTTAAAACCTACAAAGATACTGATTTTGTGGTCTTTCAGAAAAAAAGAATTTACACTTTTATGGCCCTTAACAAGAAAATGGGAAGATACTATATTTTTTTTGAGGTTTCATAAAACAGCACCACCTTTTCTTTACTCACTAGTCACTGTACCTTTCTTGCTGGGTTCTTGACACACAGCTATCTATCCTTGAGTTAAAGAGAGAATTCAGTTTTCTGTTAATTACCAGTGGAGCTTGTAAAAAAGGAAAGGCCTTACGTTAAAGGAAAGCTAGGTGTAGTATTAGAGCATATAAATATTCCTCACCTCTTCTCTGTTTGTGGCAGCACTATTGTTGTAGCCATGAGTTTCGTTCTAATGCTAATGGTTTAAACGTTTTGCAGACCTCACTTAAGAATCAGGACAAAGTGAGAAGCAGAATGGATGTTCTGTGGGAACTAAAATTCTCAACTTAAAGGTACTATAACCTGTGGCTTCTACAGAGACATTACTTTTGTAAAAATCTCCTCTGCTAATGCATCCATCTTCCTCATAATAAGCTACTGTCTCTGTTTCTCCATTTGCTGTCTAGGTCACAGCTATCCTGTCATCTGTTCCCCAGTAATGCTCTCACCCTATACAGCAGCTTTACCAACTCTCAGATGATTTAGCTGAGTAAAATAGCTTCAGCTTGTTTCATGGACTGTTGGTTCTGTTTCATACCCAAGCAGCTCGTATGGACAAAAGCTGCTCTCTTACTTTGCCACCCCCAGGCCACCTATTTCAGCTGATCTATTTCTGCGACATTTTCAGTACATGAAGGCTGTTTAAACTAGTTGTCTTATTTTTCTGGAATTAGTTATCAATGCACATGAAGCTGTATTTTAAAAATCCTGGTTCATTAATCCTGTAAGCATTTAAATGTTAAGCTTGAGAGAAATATGAAAGGATACTGGATAATATCATCCACCTGGTCTGAGGAAGCTGCATCTGCATGTGGTCCCTCAGCTGCTGTCACCACAGTTGAGAAAGCCTAGAAAGGGAAAAGCAAATTTAACACCTTTCATAGACAGACAGAGGTGCATATAAAATAATGAGCTTTGAGCTGATGACTGTCACTCAGGAGGAAAGAGATCTTGGAATGATAACTCCATGAGAATGTCAGTTCAGCAGCAATCAAAAGAGTAAGCAAGGTTACATATTACCATGGTAGGAATACATACTGAAACATCACTGTGAACTCGCATGCGTGCATTTTAAATCCCAATACAGTTCTGGTCCCCAACCCATTCTCAGAAAAAACATGGAACTGAAAAACATTCTCAAAGCAAGGCTGCTTAAACATTCTGGAAAAATTAAGGAGGCAAGTTGGTTCTGAAGAAATCTATAAAAATCGAGAGACAGCAATAGGCTGGGTAGGAATCTTGTGTCTGCTTTTATTTCCAACACAGAACAAGTAGAAGGAGTGTCCTCTGCACTGCATGTAGTTAAGCTACAGAATTTCTTTCCCAAGGATGCTGTGGTTGCTAAAAAGTTACATTGGTAACTAATCCAGGTAGGCTTAGGAAATACAGCGAAAACCATTCCAGGTCAGGAAATTTCAGAGCTACAACATGATTGTTAGCTAGGGAGTATTTGGAGAAGGTATCATATTAATGTATGTTCTCTTGTTACGCTCTCTCTGGTTTTCGTCACAGTATGAGACAAGGCATCAGGCTAGAAGCTCTTCCCTAGCCCAAGCATTCTCTCCAAGAGCTTCACACTTGCCAAGCAGCAGCACTTGCCTGTTTCCATAAAGCATCACAGAATACTTAAAAGGGAAAAGAAAGGTAACTTTGTGAAGCATAAAATCCGATCTGTGCCCAGTATAAAACAGAAGCAGAAGCATTTTGTCACAGAGTAAAAATGCTGGAAATCAATGATTCACAGTAGTCAGAGGAAGACTGTGGGCTGGCGACTGGACCTACTGTGAGACAGGAGGGACTGAGGTACGCAGTGATTTAAGCCGTCAAAAGGGGTACCACGGAAAAGCAGACATGCAGCAAAACAATAAATTGGAATACTGAGCGCAGGTAAGGGCACTGTTTGCGTTGTCACATACCTCTAACCAATCGACGAGATTGATCAATCTGCCACACTCCAGATGAAGCTTATACACTATGCATATGTCAGGGGCTTTATTAGAAATGCTTCCTCCATCAGGTTTCAAAGCTTGATTCTGATGAAAAAAAAATGAAGGCGGTAACTTTGATCAGTTTTTAATCTTGAACGATTTTAAGGGCTAGATATAACATTATTTCAGGAAATTCACATGGTAGGTATTTTAACCAAATGTTTACTATTTGTGTGCTTAATGGCGAGTTGATGGTACAAAGGGAAAAAAAAGAGGAAAATAAGATGACACACCATTAAAAAAAAAACAAACAAAAAAACCCAAAAACCACCCAGCTACTTCACTCCTGCTGTTTCTTCTACAATTTTGTATGCTTTGCAGTCTCTACTCTAATGAGTGATTATCCAATTAGGCTTTTCCTCAATTCTTTTGCTAGTTCTATTTATATATCAGAGAGAAATACTCTGTTCTATGGAGTCAGGAAAATAAACTAGTCATGATTTGCCTCAGACTGTCCTATGTAGAAAAATAAAAAAGCGTCCCTTCCTCGCCACTCCGTCAAAAAGAAAGAGGATGTCTTAGTATATCTATCAGATGTACTAAAAAGCAAAATAGCTTCTCTCATCTCAGAGTTTTATCTTTGAAATGTAACAATCGCTTCTCTCTGGCTTGAAACTCGGTACCTATAAAGGCAAAAGTCTGATTTCTCACAAACTGTTCTATATGTCAGGAAATTCAGGTCATCAGCACTGAACCATTTACTTGAGAAGAAAAAAAGGCACTTGAGCCAGAAGCAAAAGTCTCTGTAGAGCTGCAGAAATTTATAACATTTCAGATCAGTTCGTGATTTTTTTTTTTCCAGTTTTCAGTTTCATGCACTCTGAGAAGCCAGCTCTCTTAACATGAAAACAACCATTGATCATTCCTTTCAGTTCACAGCAATTTTTCTTAAAACACTTTTATATGCTAGTAAAATATGCAAGTTACTTTTGGGAAGTCTCTAAAGCCCTAGCAAGAATACCTTCATTTTTCAAGATAGGAAAGAAGTTTGGGCAAAGAATGTAACTTTGCTCAAGAACCTCTAGCTTACCTTTCATAGATCTCAATCCCTGTAAGTTTTGAGACTCAGATTCAGTTTGGACTCTAGCACTTAAGAGACATTTCACAATTTCCAGAAAGCTTAACAATTTTCAAGTTTGTTTTTTCAGTGCAAGGAACACAAAAGCTGCAGACACTAAATTATTATGTCTGTCAATTCAGTCCAGATGGTCTCCAGATAAATTGAGAGTAACATGGCTAAATTCTCAAAATGTTACAATCCAGACATTAATTTACCAGACTATAATTCAGGAGTGTACTGTAATACTACTGTGTTACTAACTGGCACAGGTGAAGTTATACCACATGGCTGATCCAGTGGCTCACCACTGCCCGGGGAGAGATCCCTACGCCTTCCTCTTCTCCCCTCTGCTACTTCACCTAACTCCGTGACTTCCTACCCAAGTGTCAACTCTGGCATCGCTGGGCACTTCACATTGATCTTCTAATCTTTAAGGCCGGAACAGTTACCACAACTAAGAGAGGACGCAACTTCTAGATAGAGCAACTGCACTCTCCTGGAACAGGTTCATCTGTAGAAATTAGTATCTACACGCAAGTGCCAAGAATGATCCAGGAAAGATATTACTGATTGGCACTGCAGGGTCTCTGCCAGCACCTGAAAGAATTCAGCCTCACTTGTGATAACTAGGCCAAGTCTTCACTCCCAAGCATAGTGAGAGGGAGCTGCGGCCGCGTGCAGGGAAACCTCAGCTTCCTGAGGCAGCAGCATACGCGTTGTTCTCCAGAGGAAACAGCTAGACTGACAAGCAGGAAGCTGCCCTAGAATGAGCAGCCAGTCATGAAACCACCGGTACAGCAGAGAGGTGCTGGTTCAGAGACAGGGGAGCATGGGAGTGTGAACAACCCAGAGCACTGCTGATGAGGGGTTTCTCTTGCTTCACCCTGCCCTCAGAGGCTAGACAGAGGACAGACTCCTACCGTGCTCTGGAATCAACACTACTACCTTTCCCAAGGACCAAATGCTAGTTATCTCCTTTCCCTGACACGGGAGCTGAATTGCAACTTGAGGATTTTCGTTTCAGAGGAATCAAAGTATCTTCATGGGTAATAGGGCTCATTCCTTGAGATCAATGTGAAAAATCGCCCTTCTTACCCAAGGTCAAGAACAAAACTTGCACGACCATCTAAACCCCAGGAAGATCCAAGATCAGATTTCCCTGTGCTGACACAATACTAAGCAGTGCCTTTCTGGTATTCCAAGTTACAACTTGTTGAATTTTCAAGGGATCAGTGAAAACAAAATTAGACCTGTTTTGTGTGTGGGTGTTCCATGGTAAGTATGATCCTTCGTTCACGTTTTGCTAAATAAATAACTGGACTACAGTCTTGTAAGAAATGCATCACATATTAATCATTTGCTGGTACTACACTGAGGCTGATCCTTTTCCGGCCTAGCTTTCTGGAAGAAACAGCTCTAGAGAACTTTGCTCTGGTCATGGCCCAGGAAAGTACAAGCCATGCAGAAGTCATGGATACAAATAAGAAAAAAATATATTTTTTTTGACTCACACAGATTAAAATGCTAAGCAAGGTACTCAGCCAATAATGCTGCTGTTAGAAACTATGCCAAACCTTCACAATCTACTCAGAAACCATCTGAAATACATTCAAGTATGTCAAAGAACAAAGTGCAGGATGACAGAGGGCTTTAAATCTTGCCAACTCATCAAAGAGAATATTTATTAAATGCATCAGCAGCTGGATTTTGCTAGCTCTCCTAATCTATGTTTTTACAGGTTTTCTAAAAATACGTATAGATTACTGAGGCCCATATTAGGTCTCTATTACGGCATCTTAGGGCAAGTAGCGCCCTCGTTAACTACTGTTTGCACAAATAAGCTCTTTATGTGGTTTTAGAAATAACTCCTGCACACAGCAAAACTGACAACCCTCATTCCAACAGAGGCACAGTGCAAACAAACCCAGTACAAATCGGGTTGTAGATTTCAAAGACTGATCTTTATCAAGTGTGGTTCCTGGTAAGCTTTGGCTTTGACTCAAGTAGCATATAATCACTCAGATACAGCTACAAACAGTGTTTTCATCAAAACTGTAACCATATTTTTAAGGGAAATGTTAGGGCAAGAGGATAAGTCTAAGTAGCATCTATAATCAAGGACAAAAAGAAATGTATGTTCACTCCTTTTCCACATCCTGCTCTATTCCTTTCTTTCGGTCATCCTGGGAATTTCATTTATGAAAGAGGTGGAATAGGGGCTGCTTTTCTTTTCTAGAAAAGGGCAGGGTTAACTCATAGAATCAATTACAATCCTTTTCTTAGACTTGGAAAAGACAGGATGTCAATACACAACAGACATTAAAATAAATGTAAAAAGAGAACCAAAGGACTCTTAAATATGCTGTATTTAAGCTGTTGTTAATGTCATCACTCCACCTGAACAGAGCCTTCCCCTTACAGCAAGTCTACACAGTGAGGACTAAGCACCAGCCCTGTAAAGAACGTCTCTGGAAAGAGCCACAGACACTGTATTTTTTCCCCCGGGGACAGTCATCCCATTTGTAATGGCGGACAAAATGACTTTTATGCTTCATCTACAGGAGAAAGAAAAGATCGGGACTAGAATGGGCTCTGGAAAACGGATTCCCTATATGGACTTCTTTCCATAACTAGCTGCTTTATTTCAGCCAGACAAATTCCATAGCTCTTTGCAAAGTCCCCAGCTGTTTATCAACACTAACTTGCTGGTTATCTGCAAAACAGCTGAATGAGTGCCAAGCTTCATGAAACAGCAAAACTAAGCCTTACACATCGTCTTCATGTGTGGCCTTCAGAAACTACTCCAGCACCACCACTTGTTTCTTACCTTCAGGTAGCAGTATGGGTTATTTAAAGCTGTATGAAGTGCAATCCTCGGGGCAGCATTCAAGTGCGCACGGAGAACACTGGCTGTGTTGAAATACAGTATCTCGTGCAGAGTCTTGTGGTCTGCAGGAACAAGGTAATTTCTGAAAAAGCAACACGAGGTATGAGGGAAGGAGAGAGATACAAGCTTTATCTTAAGGGAAACAACAGAAGTCTACTGCAATCAGAAACTACAAGAATGTATATTTCCCAACTAGTACTGACAAATATCTGAAAAAACAAAATGAACAGCACTGAAATTAACTTTTAAGCAGGGAAGTCAGTTACGATCAACTCTACATCAATGGATTTAGTGTAGGACTGTAGCTGGGCCATTGACAAACTCAAAAATAGGGGCAGCATCTGAAATCCTAGCACCAGTCAAGTACTCTACTTCACAGATCTTGCCTATCCATCTCGAGGCCTCCTGATGAGTCTCTGCTCATCTTTGTCTTCATATTTGAAGCTCTTTTCTTGGCACAGTCGTACTTCTGTTAGCTTCTTTGCCTACCCCTCCGCAAGGCTCTATAATTAACAAGTGCCTTCATAGAATCATAGAATGGTTTGGGTTGGAAGGGACCTTAAAGATCATCTAGTTCCAACCCCCCTGCCATGGGCAGCGAAATCCTCCACTACACGAGGTTGCCCAAAGCCTCATCTAACCTGGCCTTGAACACTTCATCTCTTCCCTCACCCCAAGCCTTTCACATTTTCTGCTACAGAGCTGCCTCCAAAACCCTGTCTGCTATGCCTTGCTCACCAAAAAACAGTTTCCAAAACGGACAGGATATCACACTTGACATCTATACTGTTTCATAAGTAGAACAGATCAGCAAAGATTAGGGTAAAAACACTTGACATTATTTTACCACATATACCCATCGCTCCCTCAACTTTTTTCTGCAGCCAAAATAAGCTGGTCAATCCATGTTCCATTTACTTCTACTAATCTATGGAAAATAGATTTTTTTTAAAAAAAATATTATTTTTAGAGCCCTCAAGGAAAGAATAGGAAGAAGAAAAAGTGTGCTTCATACTACCGGGACCAAGACACAATTCTGACAAGATTAACACGTTAGCAAAGTTTCTGTTGCAACTTATTGGTGTAAACTAATGCAGGAATATAAAACAGGAAAGCTCACCTTACAAGACTGTCTATATAGTCAACAACTTCAAAACGAAGCGTTTCAAACTTTGTCAGTTTCTTAGACCGCCTTGATTCCTTCAACTCCAACAAAGTCTTTAAAAAAAATCGGTGCATAAAACTACATGGGAGGTAGTTATTCTCTGGAGAACACAATCTATATGTTTAACATGTATAATTAATTTTTGCTGGCATGTCTTCACTGATGATGTCTGAAAGTGTGATCATACAGTTATTTTTATTTAGGCCAGTCTATTCAGTTCTCAAACTGGTAGGAGTTCAGGAAATTCAAAGAAATATGTGTTAGGTAGAAAGTGTAATTTACAAGTTAAATAAGAAGAAACCCCCTAACTTGCATTTTAAAATCCTAGTTTATGACAGATATTTTCTATAGATTTCTACGCGTCTGGTGGGCCTGACATACATAGTTGGTACTTATTAATTCATTTTTAAGAGAAGTTTCTTATACACACAACCTTTAATCAGAGCTCCAGCAAGCTGGGAAGAACTAACCATGGACAATTACATCTTAAAAGACTCAGTGAAGGAACTAGTCAGCATAGCCTATGCAGGCCTAACCTTCTGAAGATGATAAAGGTCTGTCTTCTTCCGGAGCTCCTTTTGTGACGATATGGACACATCTTGTTCTTGGAAAGCTTCTGCTACTAGAACAAAACTGATGTTTGATATGTGGGGTAAACTTTTCTGCTTCCTATACAAACCCCCTAACCCAAGCAATCTGAGAAATGTTCAGTGACTTGTTCACACAGACCCAAACACAGGCAGCTTTTGAGCCTTGCACCTCGTAAAAGGTTGTTAAAAAAAGAGTCTGCAGTGCAGCATAACCTACAGTAATTAAGTAACTGAAGCAATTCAGCCTTGAGCAAAGATCCAGCACAAGCCCTGCACATGACTTGAATTCTGCTTATGTCATCCTAGGTCATACTCTCAATGTTTTTAAGTTGGACAGATTAGTACTAAATACTAATATGAGTTCTCCCTACTTCACACAGAAACAGCAACCAGAACAGCAAACCAAAAGCATGCTAAGGTATTTCATTGTCCCAGTTTCATCTTAATTTACAACAAAATTTTATTTTCATAGCCATGTAGTTTGTTGATCAATTGCACTAACAATTAGTAATTTTTAGGTAAAAAGAAAGCAAAAACTCCCAAAGCACAATCAATGTCAGGATGAGTGATAATCAAAATCAAAACAAAAGGTAACTAGATTTTTTGCCTTACTTATGAAGATGGTAGTAAGATGGAGATTCCACCTACAGATCACAGGTAAAGCTCCAATCAGCAGTGACAATTGTGATATATAAAAGCTTTCTGGTGACATACACAGAACGAGTTGGTATTTTCCAATGCCCTGTGGACATTGGTATTTGTGTTGAAGACTTCAAAACAGAAAACTTCCTCTCTCCACTACCACACTGATATATTTTGAGATGTTTTGTATCAAATCTTTCAGCTCAGAATAGAATGAACATGAGGATTATTTTGTTTCCTCAAGCTTCATGTTTTAATTTTTTTCCAGTTCATTAGGCAGTCAGGAAGAGGGACTTTGTTGTTAAAAAAAAAAAAAATATTTGGACTATCCTTTCACTCTAAGGGCTCTGTGGGAGTTTTGGGTACATAACATTTTTGGCAGGCTTTTGAAAACTCCTGCTAAAGATCAACACAATCACAGAAACATACAGGAAAGAGTCATCTAACTCAGCAACCTATTCATGTAAAGTTTATCCTAACTCCCCCTTCTCACTTTTTCATTATAGCTAAAATCCGCTTTGAAAACAAACTAAGATCATTCATGGATTCATTAGGCCTTCTCTGCTTTAAAAACATCTTCAAATCCTAAGTGAAAATAAATGCTGCCTTTTTTTGTCTTATAGTCCTGCTTGTCTCTGAATTCAGAGTTGTTCTTTTTTTATTTATTCCCTCAAGGTAAAAATCCAACTACTTAAAAGCCTTTTGCTTCAATTCTTTTTTTTCTGAACTGGATGAACTTTTAGGTTTTCCATGCTAGTTAAGATTCTTCAGTGCTGGTATCTTCAATGACACGTATAGTTTTTTCAAAGCGATCACCCATTTCCTGTACCACAGCCCTGCCATCACTACAGCTGTTCAAAACCACACGGTACAGGCAAGAGCCAATTCTTCTGCACAAGGCTCAGTTAACCCAAGAGCGATACATGACTACTTTAATTAATATTAGACTGCGTTTGGTGGCTTATTGCTTACTTGTCCAAATGCTGGATAGCAACCACACTGACAACGAACTTAATTTAAGACGCATAAAAGAGACCAGATGGTAACCACTTCATCTTGAAAAGAGACTCATAGAGGAGCACTTCTGCGGAGTTCAGGGAAAGCAATGAAATTCCTATTCCAGAAGAATGCTGGAATATGTCATTTTCCTATTTCAAAAGGAATACAGCAGTTACTGTTAACCTGCCTTTGAAAGACAGAAGGCTGCTACTCATTCGCCTTACTAAACTTTCAAACACGTCCCCTACCATGAACAATCAAATATATGGGCCTGACAAGTTACAGCATGTCAGCAGAGCCCTGACAACTGACGCTTGCTGTCCTAGCTCTTATATGAATTTAACTGAAGGTGCAGGTGAAAGAACTTTATATCCATTTGGATTAAATATTACGTCATAAGGAAGTCTGCTCCTATTTATCTTTCAATACTTGTTGTTTGGGGTTTTTTTTAATTATTTCAACATAGGACAAGAGGAAATGGGTATAAGCTTAGTCAGGGGAGGTTCAGGTTGGATGTTAGAAAGAATTTCTTCTCTGAAAGGCTTGTCAGCCACTGGAATAGGCTGCCCTGGGAGGTGGTTGAGTCCCCATCCCTGGATGTGTTTAAGAAAAGGGTGGATGAACTGCTTAGGGATATGGTTTAATGGGAGATTAGGGACGGTTGGACTGGATGATCTCTAAGGTCTTTTCCAACGTAGAAATTCTATGAAACATCTGGTAAAATGCTCAAAATATACCTATGACAGATTTAGTGAGTAAATGTTTGCTGATCTGTCCAATTTCTCATCTTACATCACTCTTCTGTATTATAAAAAGCATGAACCACATACGAATAAAGAACATAAACATTTCCTAATTTTGTGCACGTATTTAAAAAACAATCCTGAAAAATCTTGACAGTTTGATACAATGACAGGATATCACCAGGGAAAATGATACCCACTGGTCAGATTTTAAAACAGATTTCATATAATCTGTAATGGAATGTATGATAGTACACACCCACCTTCTAGTTTCTGAAACTGGGTCAAGAACTCCTTCAACTTTCCTACTGTCTTATCAAACTCCTTTCCAGAAGATGACACAAGAATTTCCACACACTGTTGAAGCATGGTTACCAAATCAGACTTATTCAACATCCTAAAAGACACAATTGTTGGCTGAAGTTGAAATGCAGAATGATGAAACAGCTTTCAACGTTCTTAGTTGAAAAAAAGTTTTAAAATAATGTGAAAAACTCCTTTTAAAAGAGAAAACCCCCAAGATTTCAAGCATTCAGTCTTGCAGTAAAGTCAATTTTTTTTCCTTGCTGCCATTAACAGACAGAAACAAACCAACTTGGATAGAAGTCCTTCACATTTTCCTGCAGAACTGACAATGAAAGCTTTCCTGATATTCTGCCCAAAAACACTTGCTAGATACAGAGTTACAATTTTTGAAACTGTGAGTCAGATTAAAAAAAAAAAGTATGGTAGGGTTCATAACCCATTCTCAAGAACAGTATACAAAATGGTAAAAAGATCAGACTCGTATGTATTCACATACCCACAAAATCCATCACTCTCTGTGACTCAGAATGATTCTCTAACAAAAGCTGAATTGCTGTTTTCTGTATTTATCATTTTTGTCATTTTGTCATGACAAAAGAATGAAATTATGGTAATCGGTGTGTCAGGCAGTGGGTCTCCAGATCTGCTACCTAAACATGGACTAAGAGAGATTTAAGGAAGAATTTTTAGAAGAGGCTGGGTTTAGAATTCTGGTTTAGAATAACCAGATTTGAAGATCAGTGAATGAGAAAGAACAAATTTCTTTCAGTAATATTCAAAAAGAAGCTGCAAGTTCTAGGAAAACTTAATTATGACAGCAATGGGATTACACGGCCCAAAGAACAGGCAAGAGGGTGGTTATCACATATCAAGAAACAGTAAAGGACCCTTTTCCACCTTTTGGGCTTGAGACTATTGCAAAGTATGGCAGGTATTAGACAGTGGGGTTAAGATTTTAATTCAGTTAGGAGACAGGCTTAAAGCAGAAAGGAAGATCTCAGATCATCCAAAGATAGTAAATAAATCTGTCTCCAATTATTCTGAGACAAGTTATGAAAGAGAAGAAAGGAAGCTAGGATGAAGTCCATAGAAACCCCTTCTGAATGCTGAAGTGGAGAATCATCTGAAGAAGTGGTAACAGAGATTGGTCAACAACAAAATGACAGCAGTCACAGAAGGGCAGGGTTGTGATAAGCAGTATGTGATGAATGGCATCAATGATTAGCAGACAAAAACAGTGTACAGTATCTAGACAGAAGACAATAGGTCAGACAGCCCGCAAAGTTTTGCCACTCAAAAGCTAGACCAGAGGTCCCAGCCAGTTAGCTCCCCATAATCAATCAAGTGAGACACTCTCCAATACCTCTTAATCTTATCTCTCCTCTGATTGCACTAATCCAACATGACCTAAAGCTCACACACTCTCCCTGTCTCCCCATGACACTTTTTAGACTCTAGACAACTAGATTAAAGAAGAATAACTATTGTCTAGACTCCTAGAGTTGGATCACCTGAAACACTTTGAGGAGAGCACTTTTAGCAGAAGAGATAAAAGCCAGTCCAATGAAACGCTGAAGTAGAGAAACAATCAACAAGACTGAGAAATAAGCTGACCAAAAGCGTCTCTATTTTTTACTTTCTAAATACAAGGAAAAAAAGATGGACTCCATAAAAACACTGAAAAGAAGAATAAGGGATGGGAAAGGGTGAACACAAGGACATCAACAGATAATGTGGCCTCTGGGAAGGCACAGATATTAAGGAACAGTGAGAACTTCCACACCTGAGCAAAGGGGAAAAAAAGAAGATTGTGAGTAGAAGGGAAAAGATCACATTTTATCATTTTCTTCTAAAGATAGTAGCAAAATTCCATGCAGAAAAAGAAAGTATGTGTAAAGACGCCATGTGTAAAATGGAAAAGTGAGTTAAAGAAAAAGTTAAAAACTGAAAAAATAACAGTCAGGCAATCATGGCTAGAATCCCAAGTATTTGAAGGAATTGTGTTGAAGGCGTTGTTAGAAAAATGGCAGAATTCCTGGATTTAAAAAAAAAAAAAAAAAAAAAAAGGAGGAATTCTCTATGAAAGGAATGATCGTGATCATTGCATTTTTATCAGCAGCTCCCATAGTGGGAGCCAGGACCAGAGCAAAAACAGTAGATGAACAGATAAGAATAACAGAGGAGCAAGCCAAAATCTGATGGTAGCATCAACTTTGAGGCAGAAGAGGCAGATGAATTCAGAGTGGAAGAATGAAATTAAACATAGGAGAAAAAGAGAGAAAAAAATAACCAAGAGTTATTAGAGGTTACAGAACAGAGAGTACAGGAAAGCAAAATGGCACATTTATGGGCAAGGGTTGATCGGTGATTGAGTGCTGTCAAGATTCAGGAGAGTCAGAGAAGGATTAAGAAGGAAAGACTTCAGAAATGACAAACCAAGCATGTAATCCTTTGAAAGGGATGAGGGTAAAAAGAACATAGCACAGAGGCAACACATAAGAATCACTCAGTATGGCAAAGGTACCGTTTGAAGAGTATCTTTCCTTGTGTATATGAGCCCAGAAAGTTATCCTCCGCCCACCACTGACATGACTTTTTTATGCAATTTTACTGTCAGACACACCAAAGCTCACAAGCTCAGAGGTTCTTGAAGAGACAGTTATGGTACCAGTGTTGCATCGGCTCCTTGTGCGACAGAACCGATGTATTATTTGAATGCTGCTACCAGGAAACAGCCACTTGCCATGATAAAGCACATCTAAAGGTCTGTAGCTGCAACATTGCAATTGAAGGGTTTTCTATTATGAAAATTGTCTTAGATGACCTCTCCATCTTAAGCACTGACAGACAACAGAAGTGTAGGCTCTCCTAAAGTCCTAAGCTCACAATAATCCAAAAAATTAACTCGGTCCTTGTACAAACTGTTTGACAAAGAAGGCAGAGGGAAAGCAGTAAAAAAAAAAAAAAAAGAAAGGCCTCAGCTACACATTTGGAACAGATTCTAATTTTCACAACCGAATAAAATTTAGGCCAACTAAAACTCATAATTTGGTTGATAATATCTAACAATTGTACTTGAAAAGATAAAACTCAACTGATGTTCTCATTCACACACAGTAACCTCAGTGGTGTCAGCATAATTACTCAAGGCAGAAGAGCTATTAGAACCTGGTTAAGTTTCACAGAAAAGGGTTTAAAGACACAATGGAAAGAGCAGTCAATTATACTTGCAAACAATCCTATCACTAGCTGCGAACAGGTAATATCCTCAGCATTAAGTTCCAGAACAACCGATGACTGATACTCTCCACGTGTACAGTGGTATTAAAACAAAATGGGGAAAAAAAAAAAAAATCACCTTGCTAGTTGAAGAGATGACTCATACTCCTCTGTCTCCCACACTCGGTTTTCCAAACATGCACAGTGCAGCTCCCTAATCTGTTATGCAGAAGGTGAAGAAAGGATAAGTGGTTTACAAACGAAGTAATGTGGAACTCTTAAACAAGTTTTTCAAAGCAATATGTAATTCCTTTGGAGCTTGTTTGCCAGAGATGCAGAATGATTGCAAAAGACATGAGAGCGTCTAGTATCTTACAGAACTAAGCTCCTAGTGTTGCTGGAGTCTGTATGTTGTTCTGCACCAGGTTTCAAACAACTAACATTCAAAGATAGCTGCAGAGAACGGAGAGGAACTCCAATCAAATGCCCCAGCTAAATTCTCAAATACTGGGACAGTTCATGCTGATTTTGTAGTCAGGGACAGATGGCAGTAACAATGCGGAATACACTGAGAACTGACAGACCAGCGCACACGCACAGAATATACTGCTCTTCTAGTGGCAGAAGAAATTGCTTAGCATGAGAAGGTGGATTTAACAACGTTACAGCAATATGGCTATTAAGAGCAATTATCACTGTTCCCTTACTATCACTTTATTCTGTACAGAAGGTTGCTAAAACTCAGCCTCTTCATCCGAATTTGACTAGCGAGCTAATAGGTGGTAGAAGAGTATACATTGTCTGCAATGCATACAGATAATCCCAGATGTGGGAAAGTCAGTGTGTGGATTCTTTTGCTGATCTGTGCATCTGCCTCCTCTTGGAAACTCCTGCCTGTTGACTGACAAAGTATCACCCACGACACTAAAGAAATCACATGCTATTGTCCTCTGCCCATAGCAAGAAAGCATCTGTCTCCATTTTAAGAAGTACAGGGCAAAGCAGCAGAACAGTCAATAAAGAGAGAATAAATACTTATTCAGATGTCATACTTTGAAACAAACAAATAAAAATATTTCACTAAAATTAAATAACAGTACATCACCTGCTTGCCCAAAGGATACTTCGGAAGAGAAGATATGAAAACATGAAGACATCTCAGAACTGAAACATAATTTTCATGGTAAACATGCAAGTCCTCCAGCAACTTCTGGGTTACTTCCTACAGTGACAGAATAATTGTTTTATAAGTCATTCTAACATCCATTTATTTAAAACTCTCATAAAGTATTTAAAATTACTCTGACGTTTTGACATTGTGGTGTGGTGTGATTTAAATCACCAGTATTAAATTAAGACCACTGTGCAAAAAAAGCTGTATTTCAATAGTTCACTGCAATCTCACTGAGTATTGTTAACCTTACTTTCTTCTTCCATCTCACGGGAGGATTGTTATTGATTAGCATTATTATTTTACCATTTTCAACTATATCGAGCCCTTTATATTTGGTATATCATCTCACAAAAATGAGACTATACACTATACCTGTAATGAGCAATGAGAAATTATATAGCTACTTTTACTCAAATCCTTATTATTTGCATTTTTATATTACAAATGCATCTAAAAATTTATTTCTTATATTGTGGGTGGCTGCTGTTTTCATTAGTTAGGTATATGTAAAAAGACCAGTTCACAGAAAATAAAGAAATATGCAGTTGCTGCACCTATGTGGTCTTAATTTGACTTCTGTTTATTCATAGATTGAGAACTGCAGAACAAAAAATAATGTATTAGGAAAAAGAAATTATTAACTGCCGCTACTGAATTTACTGGATGGCATCTCATTATCACTGGCCTCAAATGGAAGCATATGTAACACTTCTGGAAAATCGCACTCAAAATTTCCGGTAGCTGTATTAAAGTACTTCGGGCTCATTACATTTAAGTTTGTCAATCAAAAGATATTCTCTCACTTGTCTTCAGTCAAAGATAAAGAGGAAAAACCCACAGGATTCTTTACATATCTGATTGCCATTTTGCTCACCTCTGAGCAAACTATTCCAAATGAAAAGAGAAAAATAAAACAAGCCACTGAAGTTCTCTAAAGTTAAACTGAAACGAAGGGTATCAAGGATTTAAAAACAAAAAAGCAAAACCTTATTTGCAGGCAATATAAGAAAGTACTGACATGAGGAAAGATTAAGTATCATACTATAAAGACTAAAAGTAACAAAGACACTTAGTGCTGCAGAGATCTTTCTGATGTCAAAAAAGTTGAAGATGAATAAAACCATTGAAGATGTTTTCTCCCCATAGACCTTTTATCTATTAAAATTTGGGAGTCACGGATATAACAATTGCTTAAATTACTTCCAAGACCTTAGGTTAGACACTCACAAGTTTGTATTTTAATTCTAAGCAGGATCATTAAAAAAATATAAATTATTCCCACCACAAAAAAAGCTAAGAGAAGAAAACAAGTCCTCTTTAATGCTGCTATATCAATCTTATTCCCCCAAATCCAGAGCATTATAGCATCTGTATTTCCTTCATCTTGCTTCCCAGCTCAAGACTGATGTAGTTAATATACATAAATAGCAATGTAGTGGGACTATGTATTTTGCCAAATAACAGAGTAAAAAGACACACTCTGTTTAGAAGAGTTTGAAGACATTATCAGAAGACTATGTCTATGCAATGTTATTTCCATAAATACAGATCACCACATTTACATAATTTCAAATGAAATGTGCCATGAAAACTTTCAGACAGAGTGGTAAGAAATTAGGATGTAAAATTGCTTTTAAAGCTGATTACGGAATTCTTCCCATACTTATTAAAAAAGTGGTAACAATATGGAATGTAAATTGCAGCTGACAAAGGATATTGCATGTTTAGGTGCTACACTTGAACAGCAAGTTGACCTGGTCCTGAACATGAACAGTAAATTCATATGAAGTAGAACCATAGTGACTTCAAAAGTGGTTCCAAAGTTTGGAATGATACTGTAGATTAGTATGACATACAGAATAAACAGCACCTCATTCATGCAGCAGTAGGGCCTTTTCTCCCCAAGTGGACTACACTGCCAGCCTGGCAACACAATAATAGCCCTACCCCTATTGCAGAGATGGCAACAAATGTCTTCAATTAACATTTGTCAGAAGCATCATATCCACACAACCACAAGAATTCCATCTTCCTTCCCAAACTTACAGGGTGAGGCTTATGAAATAAGGAAACTATTATTAAACATATAAAGTTTAAGCTGATGAGTATTCAACTTTCAAAGCAGCAGCCCACTACATGCTCTTTAAACTTTATTTAAAGAAACAGAGTCTCAGCTGCTCATTCCCACTTCTTCCCTCCTCCTGTTGTTTCAACAGAAGCATTTATGCGCCTGCAGAGTTAATTGTATTGGGGAAATTGTTCTGCAGATATAATCCAGAAAAAAAATACCCAAGTCTTGTCTTTTTTTTGGTCAGGTTACTTTAATTGGATTTTCTCTGATTGCATTCATTGCACAGCCACATAAGCTGAATGTGGTGTAAATCAGGAACAGCAATAGCTTAAGCTATTTTTGCCATGTAAGGCTATGGATCATAAAATCACGTATAAATCGTGTCTCGCCTTGACTACTATAATTGCACTGCAATTGCAAACTTGCCTCCTTCCAACCTCTCTTCCAGCCATTACCATTGTTCTTCACTCTTGAAAAGTCCTTACAGACCAGGAGGCTCTGCTAGGATAAATTAATTGCTTTATCTCTAGTAGTAACATTTGCCTCACAGGCTAGCTATAGTTGAGATGAAAAGTTAGGAGAAATCCTTCACCCTGAGCAATACTTCTAGTGGGAGCGGTTCACCTGGTGAGAATAACCAGCAGACCTTTGCTTTGTCGGTGAATTCTTAAAAGGCTCACAATAGTAGTAGCCTGACTTCAATCACTTGACAAACATTCAGATAAACATGTAACATAAATTCAAGTTTTAATCCTGTACAACATCTAGTGTGAATCCGTGCCTTGGGACCCAGACTGCCCTACTGAGCTCAATCAGAAACTACACAGGGTATGGAGGATTAAGAGCTTGTGAAATATAACCTCCAAGATATAATCTTATTCTTCAAACACTTCACTGACTTTCCAAGAAAGTCAGACTGAGTAAGTATTAAAAGACCAGGCCATAAATAAACCTTGTACCCATCTTTTTAAGAAGTTATATTTCCAGACATACCTAAAAATTGATGTGAGAAAAGTTGTGCAGCTTTGTATAAAGGCATACCTGGCAACTCTACAGATTTGGAATTTTGACCTGCCAATCCTAATTCTCTGCCACTGGACATGAAGCACAGTATGTACTGTATGAAAGATGATATACAGAACTATACATCTTAGTCTTGTATTTTATTATGCTCCACAAACTAATATATTAGGACAGTTACTTTTGCTCTCCAAAGACATTCTTAAAATTTTACCTTTACGAAGCTGTCTGCTGTCAGCAGTGCAACCTGTTTCTCTGATACTTGACTTTCCACATACCTGATGGCAAGAAAAAACAAGAACCTAAAAATTACAATGTAAAGTATGATTAAAGATTCTAGGCTTAAAAAATTCAAAGTTTACGCTGCTATAAGGATTTCTTTGGAAAGATTCAAAAAGAGACAATCGAATCCAGCAAATTGAAACGCCACTCCAAAACCCTAGAGATCACGTTCCAAGTCAGCTTAACAAGTTTAAAAGTGATTTATGGTTATTTGTCGTAAGAGCTTGTTTCTGTATTAAGAACAAGAGACAAAAAAAAGTTAAAGTGACTACACGTCACGGAAGCTGTACTCTCTAGATGAGAAGATGAAGGCTTCCTGAAATTATTTAGAACTGTCCTCCTTTTGATCAATTTACCTTTGCTATAGAACCACATGCACAAGCGATCTACAGTTTTCACAGAGCTACATTCAGAGATTCCTTTTATCTTTTTTAAAGGTGACTAAACCCAAGGTTGTCCAAAAATTTATTTCCCCTTTTACCTTCTAAAAGAGGGCAGTCTTCGAATGTTTTCACACTGATCATGTGATAAAGAATTTACTCTCTTCTTGGCATCTACCAGTTGGCAACACAGTACACTAAGAGGCTGGGAATAGAAGTGCTCCACAATACAGAGCTAAAAAACAAAGCAAGGACCAGTGATGTTAATAAATAAAATTCATCTCCTCTGATATATCCACCTTTTAATGCTTTCTTATTACTACAGTGCATATAATACAATGGTATTCCTTTAAAAAAAAATCATTACAGCTCATAAATATTCTATAAGTCACTACAGGCCGCTGATTAATTCAATTTTAAATACAGTCACATCATACCTTTTTTTCTGTATGTGCTATTCATATTCAGTACCTCATCTTTCTCCTCTCTTATACAATGATAACTATTGCTTGTCAAATATTTCTGTTCATTTATGTGAATTTCTGCATTCCTTAGGTTACATATTCAGCTCCATGCTCACAAATAACAAAGAGCATATTTAAAGGTATGAAAAGCGAACCAATCGCATGTCCTGATTTCAATTCCTGTTTCATGTACACAAAAATACAGTTAAACTCTAACTATGCATATGTACAAACGTGCTTTATCACTGATTTCAGCTGCACTAAATGTTTGTAGCATCGGGGCCCTGCAGAATAACAGCACATACTCATCACATCTATTCTTAAAAACAAAACAAAACCCCAATCGAACAGACTATCTCACTAAAAATCTTTAATACATAATAAATACTTTTAATAAAAACTGTGAAAGGGGAAAGACATTTTCTGACAGAAATGTTAACATCACTCCTAGACACAACAAAATGATGGTGATCTATTGTATCTATCACTTAGGAAATCTGATCTGAAACTGCTTCATCCTTGAATACTTTTAATGCACAAGGACACAGCCATACGCTGTCAGCGTTAGGACTTCTATTTTCTTATCAGGCCAATGGGGAATCATTAAACCCTGGCAACTCTTTCAAATAAGAGGAGCTGAAACCCATGGAAGCCCACGCAGGTCTGTCTGTAGAAATGGGTACTACCGCCAGGATATTTCTCCTGGCCATATGTAACCAGTGAATTTTAGATGTCAAAGAATCTGAGACACTCTAAAGGTATATGACACTCCAAGGGCTTGTTTTACTAACAGATTCACTCATGGAACCCGGCAAGAGAGAAACAATTCCACAATCCTGCATTAAAACAGATTACAGGGATTACAAATTCTCTGTGGAGAACTCGTCTGCAATCTACAAAAGCTACAAGGAGACTCAGGCACAGAAATATATCTAAAGAGAAATAAAAATATAATTATCATGCTCTGTATAGACTGTTTTTGGAAACCATGAAGTCCTCTGCTTTGTCTCCTGAGCGGGTAAATCTAACTCCCACATGGCTGCACAGCTGCTTGGAGCACAAGCACCACCTACTCTGAAGCACAAAGTAAATGACCCTACAGCTCCAATTTCCCTGAAAAGGCAAGAAGTGAATTGTGCATCCAGAAACTGTGCCAGAAGAGTTCCAGCAGGGAAGAAGAGACACTGCTGCAGTGTACTTGCACCGTGACAAACCAGAGTATGAGGACTTGGTACAGAGGATCAGGCTGGAGAGCTCTGCCAGGAGTGTTAGAAGATACAAATTAATCTGTAGCAAAATACAGGTCTTTCTACCCACTAAGGCAGGTTATCTGTTTAAATGTAACCTTTAAATACAGTTTTTTTGTGGCAGAGTAAGCTTTTACATGCTTCTTCACACCTCTCCTACAGGTTTTCCTTTAAAACCTTAGCAGTTAAGGTTTTAACTTTACATACACCTTGTTCACAGATCCAAACTGTTTCCAGAGGACATTTTTTTCATCCAATTCAGTGACAGCAAGATTAAGACCTAAGAAATCTTTCAGTGCCTAGTAATTACCCTTTGTTTTCACAATCATAATTTGAGTTCTTGTTACCATTGCCTACCTGAAATCCTTTGATAAAATTCTGGACAGAAAAATCATGGTATAAGAATATGTTGATGAGAACCTGCAGAACTTTCTCACCCAGTTTAAAGGGAAACTGGGCTGTCAGGAGCACCTAAGGGAGACAAAAAGGAAAAGTAGCCATAGCAGAAATTCCTTCCCGAGTTCAACTCAGTAAAATTTATATATACAATTTGATACGACTCTCAGAACGTGTTAGCATTCAGCTAAATGAGATACTAAATAAACCGCCAACTTCTAAAAGCAGCATTTCTATTAAAATATCCGTGCAAAGATTGATTTTCAGTTGATTTTTGGAAATCCTGCACAAAGTGGCGTTCCGAGAATTGCATGGGCACAGTGTGGCTTGACCATTTGGATAAGTAATTTTTGACAGGCTGCAAAATTCAGGCCAGAATGCATTTTTCCACGTTTAAAGCTATCTTTTTCTGGAACAAAGTAAAACTCAAATCAAATCACCACTTTAATGAAAAGGTGGGAAGGTGAAAGTGTAATTGTTCCAGTATGTATGCACAGACATGAATGCAAATGAAAGTTAAAAGCAGGTGTGAGTGTGTCTCAATGTGAGAAGGAAGCTCTCAGTATTAAGCTACTCTGCAGCTATGAGTAGAAATATCCAAAATCCACAGCTCCCACAAAGAGATTCCATTTCAACAGCTTCAGACAAACATACTTTTAAAGGCCACACATGTACACTGTGCTTGAATACACACACGCTCCTCCTATTTAGAAAGGGAATTACCTTGTCAATTATAGTAGACAGGTGCTCCTTACAGGAAAGGGACTGGAAAAGCTCTATGCACAGCAGAGAAGAAACAGAGTGAGGAAGTAAGCTGTGGATAACCATTGGAGATGTAGCGATCCCAAATACCAGTACTAGAGGTAATTCGCGGATATGCTGACTAGATCATAGGAGAAGGGAGAGAAAAAAAGGTAATAATTACATTATAGAAAAATCATGAAACAAATGTGTTATGTTCCTACTACAGCACGGACTTTAGATGCAGAAAAGCGTAATTTGAAAGATTTGTTGCCAGTAAACCAAGAGAGTTTTGATGTGGAGTAAAATGAAAAAGGAAGCTGTTTAAAGCCCTAAAGTAGAAAAGCAAATTAAATTATATATTAGGATTCAAATTTCAGGAAGTGGCATAAAAAGCATATTTTCATTTAGAGTATTGTCCTGGTCCCATCTTCTCAAAAAGCTGTATTTAGGGAATTGAATCTTAGAATATGACTTTTTTTTCAAAGAAAGGGAGAAAAAAGAAGAGACACTCAAGAGACTGTTCTTGAGAACAATCTCAAGAAAATTTAAAAATTTTACATCATTTAATAAACTTAAAATAAATATGAAACTCCTCTAATGTTCTGTTCCCATTATACTTAAAAAAATATAAATCTAACTTCTCAAGATTCAATCTTCCTCTTCAGATAAATTTTGAAGATATGCTTCAAGAACTGAAAACCAGGACTGAATGCTGTATTCCTTGTGAACAGCATACAAATTATACCAAAACCACTGTATTTTGTATTATTTCATCATTCTTTTCCATTTTTTATTCGTTTCAAGGAGATACAAACTCTGCTACCTTAATCTTCTAGGTTAAAATTGGCAATTTATTCCTTTCCTCTGTTTTCATCACAGCAACTTTTTGACCTTTGTGTTTTAATTGTTATCCCACAATTATTTATTTCTCTAACTCCTCAAAAGTCATTGTTAGAGACTTAAACACAAACCCAATAAACTTCACATGTTACTGTCCGCTGTTGATAACCTAAGAGAGTACTGGAGAAAAACTGAATCCTGTGATTAACAAATCAGAACAAGCTCTCCATTTACCCACTTCACCCCTATTATTAAATATGTTTAAAACTGAAATGAAGAGAATAAGCCAAATTCTCTACAACTATCCCAAAGATCTTTTTCAAAGTATTATGGAACCCTGCCGAGTTTCTATTTTATCCATTTTCTACTTTGTTTTAATCAAGACAATCTTTAGTTATAAGATCATTTGAATCCTCTGAAGCTTTTTTCTGGAGAGATACAGTCTATTAAAAAAGTGTATTTGCAAATAGTAGACTGATGGACCTCAACTGCACTTCATCATCTACATTCCATATGCTCTTAATTATTTATCCTTGCCACAAAAAAAAAAAACAAAATAAAACACAACACTCAAAAAACATTTCAAACCTCATTTTCCCCTGCCTTACGCCCTAATTGCTGGCTGCCTATGGCTTGGACAGGTGTATGCTTCACTGGATCAAAAATTGGCTGGACGGCCGGGCTCAGAGAGTGGTGGTGAATGGAGTTAAATCCGGTCACCAGTGGTGTTCCGCAGGGCTCAGTGTTGGGGCCTGTTCTCTTTAACATCTTTATTGGTGATCGGTGATCTGGATGAGGGGATC